ATGTACAGGTAGAACTCTAACTTAACCAGCTCTCACCTCATCTCCCATCCCACGGATCATGGGATAGATGGCAAAATAGATATACAGGTAGAACTCTAACTTCATGGCCACGCTGTCCTCATTTTTCACAGAGTCACCAAGGTTCTCCTCCCAAACTTTGAAAAACTCTACTCGTTTTCCATACTGGAACAGCTGCACCATCTCGTTCTGTAGAAAGAGAGAAAAAAGAAGATAATACAAAATGAAATATTTCTTTAAAATATTCTGCTAGACTGGCTACGCCTTGATGAATAGCACTTTAGATACATATTCCACAAGAAGAAAATACATTTAATAATCTTTTAAAGAACACGTTTGAATACAAACAAAGGGGCCTTCTTCCCTCACCTTTACTTTTTTATTACTCTTGTATTTAATTTTTTACTCTGCAAAAATTTAATGTTACAATTCAAGGTCTGTTCCTTTTCTTCCATCCCCGTATTTTTTTTTTTATTTTAGCCATCTTCCCCTTTTCTCCTCGCTTTTATAGATTTATCTAGTACTTACCTTGTGTATCTAGAGACAACAGTTTTCCCAGCAAACCATCCAACCGTCATTTGGACGGCCGCCAGCATCCCTGGACGGCCTAAGGTTTCAAAGATGGCTGTACGGCTTATAGATTTTTTTTTGGAAATATGACGAATTTAAGCATACTTGGACTCTAAAATTTTGTAGGAAATTACATGTTATAATTATGGATGGCGTGTACCCCCAATCCTGGGAAAAACCCTGTCTGGAGGAGAGAGAGTTGAGGAAGAATCCATTTTTTTACCTGTACTGCTAGGAGCCTGGAGTTGGTCCTGGGGGGTTTGGCACCTTTCTTGGAGGGTGAAATCGTCTTCCCTTTCTCTGAACATTCCGTTTCAAATGAACTGACTGCACGCTCGTAACCAGCAAACTCTAGGTACTGAAACAAACACAACGCAAATTATGAAACAAAACTGAAGTAGGATTTATTGCAGTCTTTCTCTCATTCTAGCATTATATTATTGTATCTTTAGTTGATAATATGTAAAAACTCAGCCAAATCAATAGTTTGTGTCACAATAGTAATAAATTTGAAAACTTTTTTTTAGGAAATGTTTTCTTTTACTAATTTAGCAAAACTAAAATAACCTTTAATATTCCCAGAAATTTGTAAACCTGCTACAATGGCTGTGTAAAGTTATTTCCACTACTTCAATTCTTCTTTTGAAATAGGAATCACTCTTAACACAATGCCTAATGCCAGTAAAACAGGAGATAAACCTGTTAAATATTATTATATATATCTATTCAGTTGCTGATCAGTGCCTGCTTTGGGGCAGTAGACTCTTAGCTTCAGTTGATCAAGGTGTCAATAGGCTAAAAGTTTTTGATAACAGGCTGAACCACAAAATAATTACCTCTTTCACAATGGCGTTCAGCTCACTTTCAAAGGCCACCAGTGACCCTGACATGTTGATGGAGGTCAACTGGCTTCACCACAGATATATGTAGTACAGAGAATGACAGCGTCCTCCTGTCAGCCAAGCTGCCGAGTTGGGCTGCCTAGTTTTGGTTTAACCTGAAATACTGTCTCTTATAATTATTAGGTAACATTATTCTTACTTTATTGGTGACGCATGTGGTGGTAATAAATTAGTAGTGTTCTCACTATTCATGTGCTTTAGTCTATCTATATGGTCAATTTATATACTCATTCAACCGCTTGCTGATAAAGGTTTTGGCCTGTGGGCGGGAAAGGCTTACTCTAGGCATATAAATATTTTTAAAGATGAATCTAAAACCAAATTCTCACAGCTTTGGCACTGTCACAATTTATGTTTATGGGGCATTGGGACTGGAGGGTCTATACATTTATGTATTAATATTAAATGTTTTACGAAAAGACAAAAATCCCAAGCAAGAAACATTTTCAAATAAGACTTTTGATAAAAGCCGTTCGAGAAGAGATTAAAAAATTAGGACTGTTCCAGCCACACCAGACACGTTGTACAAATAAATTAATCTTACCTTTAAAACATAAAGCGGACTGAAAAACTTATTCCCCTTACCTTTTTCTCTTATCAAAAATTTAACGCAGATAAATACATCTTGCTTGCAAATAGCAACTAACACAAGTCCCGCAGTAAATGCAGTGCCGAGGCGAATATTGACAATAATGCGTTAGGTGAGACAGAGAGAAGAATAAAACAGATTGTGTTTTGTGCTCGACCGTGGTAATATTCATAATATTGCTTTGAAACAGATTGAACAAATGATGAATTATTAAAACAAATGCTCACCTAAAATTTTACATTCTTAAAATTTCCGTCGTCTTTTTAACTTTACGGGATTCGATAATGATATATCGAAGTTCTAGGCCTGGACACAAAAAAGCATTGGACAGATGCATATGGGTCGTAGCAATAGTCCGAAGATTCATTGGTCCGAATGTTCACTAAAGGACCTTCGGACCAATGAACCCTTGATTATAAACCGATAGGATGTTACTATTTTTCTCACCAATGAACATTCGGACTATCAAGATGCCCCCAGCCAGATGTATGCAGTGAGTTAATGTATGGCGAAAGTATGGGGAGAACGAGCGGTGGAGCCACGAGCGTGAGTTCAGGTTGGAATGCATCGTGTTCTAGCTGTTAAAAAGGCTTCAAATCAAAGGCAGATCCGTTGGGAGGGGGTGAAGGGCACTTAATTACAAAGTTTTTACTTGTTTCTGTTTGTTTCACTTACAATATCCTTATCCCCCCCACCCCCACCCCCAGACTTGAGACTCACACTGCGAAAATCCTCCATACCAGCATGAAATTAATTTTGGGAAAGTTTCATTTTGATTAAAAGAGAAATTTCGAGAGGGCATGGAACAATTCATTAAACTCACTAGAATTACATGTAGGCCTACATATATAACTGTCTGACAGCGGAGGCGAAATAATTCTAAGATAGGCCTAAAGCTATAGGTTTCATAAAATAAATGTTTATTTAGCCAATTGATATATAAAATAAACATTATCGAGATTAAGAGTAATTGTATATCAAAAATCCTGATGAATGAAAGCTTTGTGAATGAAAAAGTTTAAGACTTCGCATTTAAAAGAGATTCGGTGAAAGGAAAAATAATCAAGCTAGGCCTACACAAAAATAGTTAACCTATTATTCAGTTCAATACCCAAGCCTAACCACTAATTTCAATTAGATCTTTACAATTTTAAAATTTAATTCCTTCTATAGTCAACAAACAACAGTTTTGTTTTGCTAACATTCAAAATCAATAAAACATTGGCTGTGTTCAGAATTTGTGGGCCGAGGTGTTGTTCATGTTGCTTTGCAGGGGGGGGGGGGGGGAGCGTGACAGACATCTAAACTGATTGCAATTTAGCGAGAATCCTCTTGGAGATAGATCGATCTACAGTCAGTACGATAGGCTCTGGAATGGTCCCTATTCTGAATACAGCCACAGTCTGTACAGATCACACGGATTGCCTGTCCATCTCGCTGTCTATGTATTTTTCTGTCTATACATCTCCCCCTCTGTGGCTCTGTCGCCTGTTTTAGGCTTAATCTAAAGTTTGTTTTTTTTTTTCAATTAGCTCCTATAACTACATGTAACCTGTCATGCTTATATACATCTGTATAAATTAAAACTTAATTAAATCAACTTGTCCGAATGACTTATATATATATATATATATTACACCACACGCAAAAGGCACTTGTTCCTTCATTGATTGCGACGTGCGTCTTGCACAACGCGTGTCTCTCTTGCTAACTCCGTGCGAGGGGAGCAAGTTAAGCTTGCGGCCACGCTGTTCGGAGGCTATTCGTAGAATCTTTTGGACATGTCCAACATCCTTCGTACGTGCTTACGGGCTGTCTGCGAACTCGAAATTTCGTAAGAAGGACTTGCGTGGGACGTGAGATTCTGCGCAAAATTTGGACGCAAACAGCCCGTAAGAGCCCATATGGCCGGTTGTGACCGAGGCTTAAATTAACATGTCCGAATATAGTGCCTATATGTAAATCACATTTAAACTATAACATCTATGAATGGTTCAATACAAACTGTCCTTAAAACGCAGTAACCTTTTGCGGTGCTAGTTCATGTAATTGCGGTCCCCAGTGTTCTGTGTTTCCTTGTCATTCCCAGTATGTCCATGAACGGAAACCAATAAAATGTACATTTTAAATTAACTTGTCCGAATATATATGCAAATCACATCCAAACAATAACAACTACCTCTCGTTCACTACACTCTGTTAAAACGTCATAACCTTTTGCGGTGGTAGCACACGTGTACACATGTATGTGCGGTCCCTATTGTTCTACGTTTCCTTTTCATTTGCAGAATGTCCATGAATGGAAACCAATAAATGCATTACAGGCCCGTAGCCAGCAATTTCAAAAGTGGGGTTCTTTTTCTGAAAAAGTGGATATTTTTCCATAAAAACTTCATGAACCTAGATCAAATTTTACACAGAGTGGACCTTTTCCCACCAAAAGGGGCGGTTCTTTCGAACCCCCTGACCCCCCCCCCCCCCCCCCCCGGCTAAGGACCTGCAATATTTTTTTCCCTTTGAATGTCAAGATTGTAAATCATTATATATCTTCAATGTACATGCACGATTTTTTGTACATAAAGCCATCAAGGCTGTGTGTTCGTCGTCGCAGTGCACTTTTTTTTTTTGCCGTAAACACCATGAAATGAAAAACGTATAACTTACTATTCTCAAAGTAACAGAAATGATTCGTAAGTACAGGTGGGTTCATTTTTCTTTTTTCTTTTCTTTTTCTTTTTTTTTTATGAGTGTGTGTATTTCTATTTTGCGTATATTTTTAATTTTAATTTTTTAGTCAGGAAAGGCCTATGCTAGTAACTTAATCTTAATGTCCATGTCACCTGTAGCACATAATTAAAATTAGTATTGGTTATGTTGTGAAGCACAAGTAAGAGTCCATCAAAATTAAACAAAACTCGATTCCGTGCGCAACCAACGTTGTATGCTCCTTTAAGTCTATATATCACTGCCAGTTATAATTATGTGCCCTTGTTTTCTATTCATTTTCTATGTGTGTCTATTTCAACTATGCAGCTACAGAGCGAGCACATGCATTTGTTAATCACCTTTCATCACATAAAATTCGATATCATGATCTGCAGTATTATTGTCGACAGCATCTGTGTGTTTTAACAGAACAGTAAGCGGCTGGGCCAGGGTGAGCTTTTTGCCACGAGAATTAATCCCGCCCATTACCATTGCCAAAGCCTTTCTTTCGTTGTCATCTTGATCTCTTGTTGTTATAATGGATCCACTGTCGCCCGGCTCCGAGAAAGCAGTGTCTACGGCTTCTGCCTCAAAGGACAAATACTGACACTTTTTAGCGCCTGATTCGTTTTCCTGTCTACACAACGGCTTCCATAAGGCAGTAAAGCTTTTATTATGCAGTCTGCCAAATGTCGTTTGCGTCTTGGCTCCCGTCTTCTGTACCTTGACATCAGACGGCTGATCAACCATATTACCTACACGGCATGGAATCAACTGTTGGATTAGAGCTTCATTGTTTATCTTAACACTGGCAATATCAATTAAGCGCGGATTATCATCAGGTACTTCCGAAGTTTCGCACTTACTTGTAACCACTGTCCCAAGTGCAGTAAGAACTAACTTTTCCGTACGAGATCCCACAGACCATGCACCCATATTCTCCATGTCTGGTTTAGCTGGGGGTATATCGTGAAGCGAATGGGAGCACGTGATGCCAAAATAATCCTTTCCACGACTTACAAATCCTCCCATGGTACCCGCCTTTGGGGCACACACCTTGGCACAGCCAGTGCTTTGAAGCGTGATAAAACCGTCCTGGTCATGAGGTAGCTCATCTATATCGAATTTTAGACTGTCCGATTTGAATTTTTGTATTTTTTCTTCCACTTGATTCTTCATGTCATGGAGAACACTCACATATACGATGTCTTCGGTGCTGTCATACCAATAGCTACTTACGCCTGGACACCTGAAGCAAAAAGACACAGAAGCCAGCATCTAGTCCATCATACATGCATTTTACAATATAATGTAGACATCTTTATATGCCATTTCGTCATTAAAATTATGGAAATGTCCGCGTTTTAATATCGACAGCAGTTTAATAGGCTATTTAAAATAAAACGTACAGGACACATGAAGTGGTATAGACAACTGAATTATGGAAGATAAAACTTACTTGTTTAGGGCCAATTTCACTTCCTTAGGGATGCTTTTTGTTTTGTTCTTCATGGTGATCTCGGCAGTACGACCTTCATTCTGTCTTTCCTAAAACAGTAAGGTATGTAGGTGTATTAATTTGATAGAATGTGATAGTACGACTTTCATTCTGTCTTTTCTAATACAGTCACGTATGTAGGTATATTAATGTGATAGAAATTATAAAAATTTAATATGTAATATATAGTATTATACAATTTAAACTTTCCCGAAAATTGCGGCTAGGATACACGTTCTTTTAATTTTCATCAATGCTTTATCCACTGTGCATGTTCTAAGTATAGGTTCATTATAAAAACAAATCCTAAATGGCTGTTTCACAATCAGGGGTACAAAATAGGGGTCACATTGAGAGAAAAAGAAACTCTGATGCATTTGTTTTATTTTGTAACAGATAAAAAGAATAACATGTTAACTATGACATCCAACATTTTTCGAACACAATATTAATTATTTTTTGTGTTACGTTCAAATTAACAGAACGCCTCTTAGGCTATGATTTGGGGGTACGGACACTACACATTCAAGTAACTGATACTTTTGTAACTGAAATATCATATTCTTTACCAGTAACTTTTGCCAACATTCTAAAAAATCAAAATAAAGATATAACAACGTTTTCTAATTCTTTATTCTAGTTGTCTTAACAGGACTTTTGTGACTCAGACTTATTAATATAATAATAAACAATCTCACAAAATACAAATCTGATCAAAGTTTTACATAGAACCTGCTTCTATACATTAATCTAACCCACTGAGACTGTCTTTAACCAAAAGGATACAAGTACATGTATTAATCAAAATATTTTCGGAGAAACACCACCGCACGTTTTTCAATGGACGCTGGTGCTTGGT